GACGAGGTGCTGCGAAGGCTTGCGAAGGTCGCCCAGGTGGTTTTGGCGAGGACGACCTCGGTGATGGTATCCCGAGGTCGACGTGGTGCATCAGATGCAGTCGTCAGCACGAGGTGGACTTGGTGTGTGCGCTGTGCAGGTGACGAAGCAGTGCACGCCAATCATCTACGAGCACCTGCGAAGCGGGTGCGATGCTGGACTGCAGGAGCAACGCTGGCACGCCGTCGACCTGCAGCGTTGGCAAGCCGCGTCTCTGCACTGCTGGAGCGCGGTCGACCAAGTCGTGCTGGCACGCGGTCGACCGTGCTGCTTGCATCCTAGCTCTGATGTAGTCTTTCCTAGCCAACTTCATTGTATCATTGTTGTCAACTTTCTCTAGTGAAACTCTTGCCAAATTGTCTTGTGAACTAGCAAGCAGTGTGTGCACTAGGAAAACGACTAAGGACCGAGGAACGCAGAGATCACACGAGCACCCGTGCCTAGCCCGCAGCCTAGCTCCCGTTGTAGTAGTTATCTCCGCAGAAAATGCAGTTATACTTCCGTCATTGGGATTTTTGAAGTTCATACTGAGCGAGGAGAAGAGGCTGACCGACCCCCATCCTTCAAGAGGAGTGGGACGAGCGTGCGACTGCCGGCTACTACCTCCTATCTCAGAGTTTGGAGCTGAACCAAAGGTTGCATGTGATACATTTGCTGGAAAAGGCTGAATATGGACTACTTGCTTAGGTGGTGCTTAAGGAGCTGCAACCGCCAACCTCGGTGGTTGCAACACTCATGTTGGAGCATGAATTGGCGTCGTTATGCTTGAATGAAAGGGAGCGCATCCAACCTGTCCTAGACAAGATGTGGGAGCTGTACGCATAGTTGAAGATCGCAGGCATCACCTAACCGGAGCAAACGAAGTGTTTGCGAGTGCTGTCGTTGCTGCCCGGGTTTTGGTTGCATTTCAAGGGTCGTGGAGGATCAGTTTAGGAGGCGGCAGCTGAACTTTAAACAAGATTGCGATGGTGGCTATGGAGTTCAAGGTGGCAGCTGGCGTAAGGGGAAAAGCCGCGGTCAAGGTGAACATGGACGGTACCGAAACGGTCGTGATGAGAAGAAACAGAGGAGCAACGGTGGCTACCAAAGAAGGGGCATTGCCTTTTCCTCTTAACAGTTGGATTCTAAATTCTGGAGAAGCACACCAAGCTAGATGAACTCGGCAAAACAAGCATACGTGAAATGAATTCAGGGTGCGGGCACAAGATGAAAGTGTTGGGGGTCGGCAAGGCAGCCTTTGAAGAAGCCGATGAGAAGCCGATCGTCTTGGAAGACATGCTCTAGTGCCGGAGCAAAAGGGGAACTTAAGGAAAGTGGGACTTGCAGGCGTGTGCACGGCAACAAATGGAGCTGAAACGTTCAAGTGGTAGCTCGGTAATCATGTGCTGTGGAACCTGCATGAAGAAAAAGATCTGCATGATGAGCTGTGACACGTGTCCGTGGTTCCATGGAATGAGGCGGCACCTGAAAAGGAGAATGAGATATGCATCTACAAGAGGAAGTGCGCATCACTGGCCGCTGAAACGATCAAGGAGCTGAAGGTAACAGTGGAGATGCTGGTGCAATAGTTGATGCAGGTGAATGCTTTACTTGCAGCAGTTGGAACGAGAACTGCGCTAGGTGCTGATGAGATAAACGGTGCAGAAGCCAGAGGGAGCAAAATCAATGCTGCTGCTATGGTTAAGGAAAAGGGAGTGCACCAGAGTGACACTCGTGAGCAGAAGAAACTTGAGGTCAAGGTGCAACTGAATGATGCAGCTGCTATGGAGAAGCCGACGCTGCTGAACCTTGTAGGTTCGGGAGAATCCAATATGAAACTACTTCGGGTGGTAACAGCAATACTTCGGCGAAACTGCAAAAGGTTGCAGCAGATGATGCGGAAGCTGAAATTGTGGGGGAGCATCAACGTGCTTTTCCGAAAACTGGTGTTGGGATTAGTTATGTGATGGGGCTGATCAACAGTGAGAATTTGGTGTTTGGCGAAAAAGGAGAACAGCTAGGCAAGGATGCAAGCCTTCCTATGCAAGGATGGAAGTGGCGAAAGGAGTTGTCAAGTCCGTGAGCGACGGATATGGGTTTGAATAGTCGGCAGGTTGAGGGGGAGTTTGTTGAGTGCAAAACGTGGTTTGTACGACAACCTACCGTCTATTCGCAGTCAATGAAGGAAAGTGAGGTGCTTTGTTTGAAGGTAATTTGTCGTGTGCGAGTTGTGCATTTCAGTGCTTTACGTTTGAGCGTTTGCAGTTCGTGAATCGCTTCGATGGTTCATGAATTATGAACACTCCAGTGAATGGCTGCATTTGTGCGTGTTTGTGATTAGTCTTCAATGAGCGAATGTTGTTCTTACAACGTATTGACGTGAAGAGTATAATTTGCACACGAGCCGATTGATCGTCGTAGCGCTGCGCGAATGACTGTGGGAGTACTCTAGTGCGTACAACTGTATTTACACTTGATTGGTCTCTCTACGAACACGGATCCTTGGGTAGGGGTTGGCTTTGCCAGACACCCGAGGACCCTTGGAGGTGACCCCGTGGGGACTACTAAGTTTGAATCAAATGTGTGCTTAAGAGCTTCTAGGTCCCATTAGTGGTCAGCAAAATATTTACAAATCGTTTATGTTGAGATTCTGTATTTAGGAGTAATTTTATACCTTTTAGCTATCGTTTACAATCATGTACTTTCATTTTTTACACCCAGGTAAGAGTCCGGAGTCCGGAGGGAAATAGAGTTCCAAATCGTAGCTAGCAACACCACTGGTATTTGAAACCCAGCATACTCTCATGTCTTGTATATCCTGTACAGAATTTGCATACAGGTCTGGTTCTGATTCAGCACTTGGTCTTGCCAAGGTACTCCCACAGTAAGCAGTCTGTGGTGTGCCTTTTTCTTTTTTGCACATCATTGTGTCTGCTCATTTCGTTTGATTTTGTGTCTACACCCCTTCCTTCACTCCCTGTCAGGGATTTGTCTGGCCTTGCAACCGCTCAGTTTCCCCGATGGGTCATGGACTTGACAGCTCTGCGATTCCTGTACGTGCCCACTGCATTTGCCGTCTTTTGTAGACTTGAGCACCGAAACAAACCATGGGCTGGTTTGGTTCAGCGCGGTTCGGTTCGAGCCGAACCAGACCGTGGGTTTTTATTATTCTTTATTGATATTATTACTATTATTTTCCTCGACGGTTCGTTTCTGTTTGGCCAGATTTTTTGGTCAAGATAGTTTGACAGTTCCATCGTGTTTAAAACTATTTCTTCCCCAGGAAAGAACTGGGCCGGCTCGAGCATCCCATCCGCTGCCCTTGGTGTCCTTCGCGTCCCTGGTGTTTATAGCGTTGGTGACAGTGACGTGGTCCCTGGTGGTGGCCATGATGGCGTTGGATTCCTCCTGATGTGCGGTTGTGCGCAGCAACATCCCCTGTGTGGGGCATCCTGCGCCATCCAGATGCTCCCGTCTCGGAATCCGTTGTGGTTTTTTCTCCATTAGACCCTCCGTCACGATGGGAATCTTATCACGATGGGAATCTTAGCGCTGCAGTCACATCTCCTCGACACGGGGAATAGTAGCTCCAGCCAGAATCAGACTGACTGATGTGTAGATGGAGACCCACGTGTGCAGTGACAGGAGCTCGTTCATTCTGTTGCAGGTCCAACGCGCCAGTTCTCTCTCCTTCTTTCCCCTCTCCCTCCTTCCCCCCTCTCCCCCTTCTGCCAGCGATGTGTCTCATTACAATAACTATCGCTCCGGAGTGGTGCCGCAAGACCTCTACCGCCTCAGCCAGCTGCAGCACTTGTGAGCTTTTGTGCGCTCTCAGTCGTAAGGCTGGCCGAGTAAGCGCAATCAAAGAGCAGATTTACAAGAAGATCAGTTAGGATCTCAATGAAATAATATGGGAGATAACGTTAGGTTGAGACTGATTGAAATCCTGAGCGTAAACATCATCCCAGTAAAATACGTCTACATTAGCTATACTTTTTTTTTTGCTCTTCCCGAAGAAGCCAAAGGAACGCTATATGTGTGGTGTACAATCTAGTTTTAAGTTTTTCAAGGCTGCCTGATGTTTCCATAACCAGTTGCTGTGATGAAACCTTGTCCAGTTGCTGTGATGAAACTTTAACCAGTTGCTGACTTGGGACACGCCAGGTCGCAATCACCAAAATTATCTCGGCCAGCTTATAGATGATTGTGTTGTTTTCTCACCCATCCACAGTGATGCATCAGGAAACGGATTGGTTGGCGCTCTTCCAGAGTACTGGACCGCTCTGAACCACCTCACCTTCTTGTGAGACAACTTTTCTTGCCAGAGTCGAATCTGACCCTCTCATCCATTTTCACCATTTGCCGTTCTTGCCTGCTGTCAGGTGCAACCATCACATAAGTTTTCACAGTGTTTGACTGTGCATATCTGTTCAGTTCTTCTATTTTGAACAGTTTTGCCTTCAGCACTCATTAATCATTGACCCCATTTGCACCTTGTTGTTATGCCGAAAATAGTCTCAGACGTGTGTGAGCATATTTAGTTAAAAACTCTTTGTCCGCAGTATGCAGTTCACTATGAACCAAGCAACAAGCTCAGCAAATTACTTCATGGGGTTCTTTTTTAGCCCTTACATTCCATTCAAGACGAACCGGTTCAGCGGATTTGTTAGTCACAAGCTGCGTCAAACCAAACGACTTGCCATGGTTTTTGGTCCACTAGAGTTCCCACATTTACTTTAATGGCGTGGGAGATAATTTTATCTCCAACTCCTCTTTAGCCTGTCCTAGCCTAGCCTTTTTTGAAAAATGGCGTAAACATAAAAACTGTAGCGTCATTACGCTAGCATGAGATGCTGTTTTGACATATTTTCCTGCTCAGGTCTTTCTTTTAAACTACCATTCTACTTATGTCCCTTGTTGATCTTGATGATAAATTTAAGAAACGGCTGCTGTCGCCCCGGTTGTCATTCACTGCTCTGAAGGTCGTGTGAAGGAAACAAGATTGAGGGCTCCATTCCATCCACGTTTTCTGCCCTCACCTCCTTGAGCACGCTGTAAGTCATGGCCGCATTGTACTATTACTGCTTTTGTTTAACCTCACTTCACAACTTTTGTTTGTACGACTTTGTTATCATTGGCATGTTATTGAACCGTTGGCTCATACTGGAAAACCCCGCTCTGAAAATAAAAGGAGTACACTAAAACACGTCTCAATCTTTAACAAAGATCAGGTTTTTGGAAAATTTGATGTCCAAATGTATACACAATGCATGTGCACCATGTGACGAGAGTCACACATGTGTTGTGATGTGATGTGATGTGATGTGATGTGATGTATGAACCTATTCACATGCAGTCATACATGAGCAAAACATGAATCGAGTCTTACTTGACTTACAGATGAGCAACTCAACCCGACCAGACCCAGTTTTGTTCAGGCTGGGTCGGCATGATGATTTTCCCAACCTGACCCAGCTTAACGTGTCGGATAGGTGTATACATATACCTGGCCCTGGGTCAGGCTATATTTTGTTGATCCGCAGGCAAATCCCGACCTGAGAGGCTAGGTAGAACTGGACGAGCCGAGCCCACCAGAGGAGCGACCCAACCTGGCCAAAACCGCGAGTTGGGTTGGATCGGGACGACCTGACCTGACCCGTTGCTCATGCCTACTACCTACCTCGAAGCAGCTCATTATAAAGTGTGATAAAAGAATTCGGGCATCGAACCTAACTCGAACAGTTTTGATTCGAACTTGATCATGTTCGATCCGAACTAGGCATGAGTAAGGAACCAAACCACTGTACGATTCGGTGCGATTCGGTTCATTTTTTCCGGAACCGAACTGTTCGGTTCTTCTTCCGGTTCGTCAACTAACTGAACCGGTTATCGGCTCGTATTCAACAGGTTCCCATGCAGCGACGAACTGAACCGGGTCGTGCAAGTTCGGTACAACCCAAAAAACAAAGAGTTGGAGCTTATTTCACGCTTTAACTTTGACATAGTCTCTCAAGGTTCCCCTTTCACCATAAAATAGCATGTTTCGTACGGTTCTTTTTTAGTTTTCAGCTGGTTGGACCATGTTGAAAGTTCCCTGAAGAAACGAACTGCTTAGGTGCGGTACTGAACCGTTCGGTCGATCCGGTTCCGTTTGTTAGCTATTCTAACGAATCCCGAACTGTCTTCATGCAAAACCAGCTCGTTCACGAACCGGTTTAGTCTGGTAGTGAACCAGGCCAGATCAGTATTGAAGGGTTTAAAACGAACTAGTTCGGTTTGGTACCTTGCTCATGCCTAATCTGAACTGAACGGCCCCATGTTCGACTGACATAGTTGAAAAGTTGAATAATCCAATCCAAAAATGGTTCGAATTGAACCAAAAATCTTTGGTTTGACAGTTTTAATTGTTCAAAACCGTCCGACTCGCATGACGGCCACGTAAGTGCTTACTTACTTGCCTCCAAACAATCATGTGTGTGCTCTGCTATATGTTTCTACAGGCTACAGCAAGTGATTGAGTTTGATGAACTCGTTCTGAAACATTCTGAAACTGATTCCAGATCAATTTGTCTTTCTTGTACTCGACTCAGTTCAATGGTTATTTTCTGCCAAAGAATACGGATTTGAAAAGAATAAAATCCTGACTAGACCGGGTCGAATGAAATGTGTCTCAAATGCTCATATATACATACAAATGAAGCCACCATGGCTGATTTCTGCAGAGAAAACTAGCATGCTGCTCGCCCGACCTAGCCACATGATCGAGTAGTATGCGTGTGCCTGCTTGCGCAAGTGCCACTTGCGTGACCCTTCTGTTATCTGTCCGAGTCCGGCTCACTGCTGTTCTCCAGACATGGCATCAGTGCTCCCAACACGCAGGCTAATCCATACCGCATGTTCCTCCAATTGTTTTGTTGCAGAAATTTGCGAATCAACAGAATGGACGGCACTATCCCGCAAGTCTTCTCCACTGCTCTCAGCAGCCTGTGCTTTCCCATCCCTTAACCACCCGCACATGCTTTGTTTTCCTTGGTGATGGTATGAAATCAGTCTACCCCTGCTATTTCAATGCATGCACCCTTCCAATGGGCAAAAGGCTTGGCCTTGCACTGCTACCTGTCCTTGCTCTAGATGCTGTCAGTGACTTGAGCATACAAAGTTCCAGTGTATCTAGGGCTCAGGTCACTTCCGATTCGGAATGATCTGGAGAGTGAATTGAACAAATACTGCACTCAGCCTCGACTGCGCTGTGCTGGGTTTCAACTTATCTATGTATACATTTTCTTGCAGCGACCTTTCGAATAATGCCTTTTCTGGCCACATTCCACCCTTACTCGGCTCCCTCACTGGCCTCTCTAACTTGTGAGTGTCCTTTGTCTTGAATAGTAAGGTGGCTCATGCTTTCTTTGAGGCTCCTTATAACCGAAGGTCCCAAACCCTCGCAGATGAGTTCATGATTTCTACCTTTGGTTGGTCTTCTCGGTTTCCGTCCCCGTTCTGGACACAATTCTTGTTCATGGCCAATTACGACTCCTCACTGCGAGGTTATTGTAAAAGATTCGTCTGGCTTTAAAAAACCACAATCTACCTGGTTTTGTGCGGATGACTCGCTGCATTCATTTTGTAGTAAGTCCAAGCGTAACAACGCTGGCCACACACTTCAATAGCTGCTCTGCTCGACATGAAATGCCGTGCATAGTCACGCTATAGATTTGTATTGCTGCTAATCCTGGTGTGTTCTTTCTCATTGCACTGCAAGAATCTAGTCGCACTAGGGTAGCGCAGCACTCATCAATACTTCATCTTGCAAGGTTCTTGCTGTCCACGGGAGTTGTATGTTGGCCCTGTCCTCGCTTGGACGGAGCCGATTTCGTGGTCGGGTGGAGGGTGCAGCCGACCTGCAGCAGTGGGCGAGTTGGTCGACGAGGTTGGTCGACCTGCACGGGGAGCCACTGCATGGGCGCCGACTTCAGGAGGGCGCCAACTTCGGCTGGTCGACCTGGGAAGTCGACCAGCCCTTCTGGTCGACCTGGGACGTCGACCAGACCTCCTGGTCGACCTGGGAAGTCGACCAACCCCTTCTGGTCGACCTGGGACGTCGACCAGACATCCTGGACGACCTGGGAAGTCGACCAGCCCTTCTGGTCGACCTGGGACGTCGACCAGACCTTCTGGTCGACCAGGAGTGACCTGCTGGTCGACCAGCGAATAGTGGTCGACCTGGGGAGGTCGACTGGAGGTGGCCGTCGACTTGGGAGGTCGACCGGCACATACCGGAGGCAGTGGTCGACCTGGTGAGGTCGACTGGAAGTGGTCGTCGACCTGGGTGGTCGACGGGCACGCACAGGAGCAGCTGGTCGACCTGGTTGCCCGGTCGACCATGTTACCTGGGTGACGAGGGTCTGCGAAGGCACGCGAAGGTCGCCCAGGCGAAGTTGGCGAGGACGACCTCGGTGGTGGTATCCCGAGGTCGACCTGGTGCATCAGATGCAGTCGTCAGCACGAGGTGGACTTGGTGTGTGCGCAGGTGACGAAGCAGTGCACGCCAATCATCTACGAGCACCTGCGAAGCGGGTGCGATGCTGGACTGCAGGAGCAACGCTGGCACGCCGTCGACTTGCGCTGTTGTCACGCCGTCGACCTGCAGCGTTGGCAAGCCGCGTCTCTGCACTGCTGGAGCGCGGTCGACCAAGTCGTGCTGACACGTGGCCGACCGTGCTGCGCTGGCAGTCGACCTGCTTGCATCCTAGCTCTGATGTAGTCTAGCCTAGCCAACTTCATTGTATCATTGTTGTCAACTTTCTCTAGTGAAACTCTTGCCAAATTGCCCCGTGAACTAGCAAGTAGTGTGTGCACTAGGAAAACGACTAAGGACCAACGAACGCAGAGATCACACGAGCACCCGTGCCTAGCCCGTAGTCTAGCTCCCGTTGTAGTAGTTATCTTCGCACTTGCAGTATGTATCCTTCTGTTGTGAGGTTCATGGTTCATTTATGCATGCATGCATGTGCCTCTCCATGTGATTCAAGTCTCAACATCTCCATATGCCTCCTGGCAGGGACTTATCAGGAAACAATTTCACAGGGGCTATTCCTGAATCCCTTACAGGCCTCACCAATGTGTTTGGACTGTATGACCTCACCAACATGTCTCTTATGACCAACCTCCGCATGTCTGCACAATTCGAATTTGCTTGTCAAGTTTGAGGAGGAAAAGCCAAGAATTGTCGGAATGCCAGGTGTTGGTTAGCAAGGTGAACTTTCTCAAAAGAAAGTGCTGGTTGTTGCATTAATAATTTGCTTAGAGAACCCTATATATTCCACCTTCCTCCTCAAGCACAGGACGTCTTTCTGTCTTGCTGTTGTGCTCAGGTTGTTGTCCAACAACCAGCTGACCTCTGGGCTTGATGTGATTGAGAGGATGACATGGCTTGAGTCAGTGTAAGGGTACTGGTTGGTTACTACTGTTCTTGTTCTATATTCATCTCTGTAAATTGGTGGCAGAATGGATCTATGACAATATTTATTCCACTTTCTGTGCACAAGATCCAAGAAAGTCATTTGCATTGATTGTTGCGTGTCTACAGTAGACATGAGCACAAGGGCAAACACCTGTTCGGTTTGCATCGAATATGTTCGAGACGAACCGAACATGCCTTTTTTTTTTTGCCGGAAATGTTTGGTAAAAAATGTTAGATGTTCGGCCGAACATGTTTGTTGCTCGTGGATTTTGTCGGTATCTCGGGGGAGGAGGGGAGGGAGGCGACGGGGGAGAATCTGGCCCACTGAAAATACACTCTCAAACCCGAACATGGAAATGTTCCTGAAATACACGTTTGGTGTTTGCCCCGTTGCTCTTGTCTACTCTACCCTACACGACATCTTCCGGATCACATAATAATCCACAACTCACCAGCACTGTGTTGTTTTTCATCCTTCATAATCCAAAACTCTGAATAATAATCATAACGATGCAAGCCGACCACAAGGATCTCATTATCACCTCAAGACCAAGTTGCATAACTTGGAACAAGCATCAATACGATGGAACATACACTCAGCTCAGGTGACAGAGCATGTTGCATAACGAAGGTGAGCATTACCCCTACCACAGCTAGGCAACATGAACAAAGGTGTGCATTCGTTTACGCTCACTAGAAGCTATTTGGGCTGACTACAGGAATAATTGCTGCAATGTTTTGGTGATTGAATTTTGTCAAGAATGGTTACAAACAAAACTAAAAATCACTTTTTCCCCCTCAATCAGTTGGCCGCCGGAACCGCACTGTACTGCATTACCTCCACCAAACCCAACAATTTTCGCCACAGAAAATCTGCCATGTTGGAAATTTAAACACAACCCCCAATGCTCCTAAGGCCATCGAGCACGCTCCCCCACTCCCCCCCCCCCCTCTCCCCAACCACCCCTCTCCATTTGTTTTACCTGCTCTGCCCAAAGTATTTCGAGCATACTCCAAATCAGGAGTCAACATAATCCGTAATCACGCTAGCGTAATACGGCAATAGTAGAAAATGCTTGCAACGTCCGTTTCATTCCAACATAGCCTCGAAGGGTTCTTTATTAGCTGATTGTGTTTGATCAGCATAATCTCACAATCTCATCCTGTGTGTGCTGCCATGAGATGGTTATGAGATATATAATATCTTTCCCCTTCACATGTCACAGAGAAATTTCTTACAACATGTTTTCGAGTAGTCTACCGAATATTTCGTCCTTATCTCTTCTCTCAGCGTTGTAAGTGGCTCTTGGGGGCACACACCGAACCTCATCACACACATATTTGGTTTTCCAGTCTTCGGTGTTGACCTTCAAGGCTAACATTGGTGTGTCAACTTGTTTAAACGAATTCCGTGTTTGCACATTTGCAAAATTCTTGTTTGCACACTTGAAAGTTTCTCGTTTGCACACTTGTTCTTTGTGCACACTTGTTTAACTGTCAGATTTCTCCCGTGGACTCTTTGTGACTGAATTCTCTAGACTCGCCCGATGCAGGCTTGGCCTAACCTGCGTTGCTGCCTGGGTTCTGGGCCAGGCTCAAAAAGGGTCTCGCGTTGCGTTCCCTCCCCCCCCCCCCCCCCCCTTTTTTTTTGCTTTCTTACTCTTCTTCTTCCTACCTTGCAAGTCAAGGCCTTTCTTACCATGGTGTATGTAGTTAGCACCTCTCTAGCAATAAAACTTGTTCCTTTGCAGATATCAGGATACCAGAAGGTAGAAAAGATCAAGCAGGAAAACCCGAAATTGCGGATGTTAGACGTAAGAGTAGTTAGGCGAATGGAGCATAAAGCATGCCTTTCTGTGGCACTTTGCAGTGTTTTGTTTTACAGTCACGTTCAATGTTAAGCAACTTTTGGCCACAGGAGAATTCTGATCTTTCACAAGTGACTGGAAAGTGGATAGTCATATTTTAATCCTAATCTGCTCTTGCAGGCTTACATGTAATCTACGTTTTCATTCCATTGTATGGCTGCACAGGATTCTTCGAGGCAACCATTTGCAAGGGTCGTTTCCTGCTGAACTGCTGAAGCTAACCAATCTCTTTACGCTGTGCGTTTTGGCTACCTGCGCATGTGCTTTCAACGACGAGCAATCCATGCCTTACAACCTGCACCTCCTTCGTACTTGTTCTGTCAACTTCAAAGATAACGTTCCCGTCCTGATAACGTTCCTGTCGTGTTCAAACCTGCACATGGAACCAGCCATGTGTTCACCATCAAATGGAGGCAATTAATCTGGTTGCCTTTCATTTCATTCAACCTATCTAGCGTCGAGAAACGAGTGCTAGGTAGGGAGAAACAATATGAAACAAGTGCCAAGCTTTAGTGCTCTGAAGGGGCTTCAATGAAGTTTACTTGAAATTAGCGCCACTGGTTTCGTAAGCACGGGCTGGGACCGAGCAGGCCCTGGTAGGAACGACACGGGTCAGCCTCAAAGTTGGGCTGGATTTGGGCTGTCTTGCTGAGTAATCAGCCCCTGGCTTATCATATAAGGCCGGGCTGTCTCTGGCCTGTCCCTGGCCATCTGGACCACCACCCTAAACTCAGTGTGGCCCGTTCTCACTCATCCCAAGCACCTGCTGTAGGCGGTGTGTGAGGGGAAGGAGGGGAGGGGAAGGGGCAGAAGACATTCTGCTCATGTCTACATTCGCTGGTGGTTGGGTTGGGTCCCTTGGTATTAAGTGTGTAAGTTACTTGTAGGAGCGTGAACGGTGAACTTTGGGTAATGTTTGGTTTGGATTTTCTAGGTTGCAAGGGGTGAACTATGGCCAGATGGTGAATGCTGGCTGGTGGTTGGTTAGGTTCTTTACAGACAGAAAGCGGTGAATTTTGGTGAGATGATGAATCCTGACTGGTAGTTGGGTTGGTTATTCTAGTTAGTAAGAGGTTAAGTGCATAAGGATGAACTGCAGCCGTGTTGGGTAAAAGCTTCAAGCTTGTTTGTTGCAATCCAGCCACATATTGGCTAAAGCCGAACATCAATGAACTTTCAACAGAACGACATTTTCTAACAGAAACTCTGCAAACCCCCCTCCCCCCCCCTCTTGCACAGAGATATTGGGAACAACGAGCTCCATGGGCCCATTCCTGAGGACATATCCAAACTACAGAATCTGATGTATCTGTACGTATACCCTAGCGTTTCCTTCTTTCTCCTCAAGCCTGTCCTTTGAAGGGAACGTTCATGGCAAGTAACAGAGCTGATTATATCTGATGTGTGTCTCTCACTTTGCTTTCTGTGTGTTGGATCACTCCGGTCATGACAAGTGTAGGGTGCTGGACTGCTTATGAATGAATGAAGCACATATGCCCTTCGAAGGACCAGTAGGGGCATGAGTGATCATGTTCTTGTGCGAGTTGTAATGGGGGCAGGTCCTGACGGGCCTTTTGAAGCAATAATGCGCTACGTGTGCTTGTGTGCTTTGGGTTGGGCTGCTGTCAGCTCTTTGGTGCACAATGGTCCACCCCCCTCACCCCCTGTCTCCCCTCCCTTTTCCTTACTTCCCCTTCCCTTCAATTCTTTATTTTCCGAATACATTTCTTGTTGTCGTCATTGTATAACGAATACGCCCACTTTCCTCTTCACCAGATATCTTGACCAGAACAATTTCCATGGGCAGATCCCTCTTGGTGTCTTTACCCTCACAAACATTGATAACTTGTGAGTGGAGAGACAAGCGCACTTCGCCTGCTCAGTGCTGGTCACTCACCGTTCAAAATAATATACAGAGCAAATCTAGCCTACTCCAACAGGTACACCCCCCGTTGCATGAGCAAATCCTGAACACGAACATGATCGGGCTGACCATGTCAAACACTTCACGTGGTTGAATCGAACATGTTCGGTTCGCCCCAAATGGATTCCTGAAGTGGGGTGTGTCGGAGTGAAAGGCCCCGCCCTCGCTTGGGCGTAGGCATTCTCTGCGACGACGTGGTGAATTCGACGAAGTGATCGTCGCATTGGAGCAGCCCGTCCTCTGAAACCGCGCGATCTCTGACGGACGGGGTGCTGTCCGAGGAGCCGCGTTCTCTGATCGAAGGGCGCTGTTCGGCGAGCGTCAGCTCGGCGAACTGGTCGGCCAAATTCGCGCGACTGCGAAACTCTGCGACAGCATGCGAAATTCGCTCAGGTGGCTCTTAGCGAAATTCGACCTCCGAAATGGCATCACGTGCTCGACGGCGGACATCTGACGAAACCGTCGGAGCGTTTTCTACCTGGCACCTGCGCAATGTCTCTGACGGTGTAACCGTCTACCTGCACCTACTCGGCAGGTGCACACCTGCGCAGATATTCACCTGCGAATGCAGCGCTGGCAGGCCGCCCTGCTGCAGCGCTGGCATGTCGCCCTTCTGCTACGCTGGCAGACCGCTCTGTTTCAGCGTTGGCGAACCGTTCTGATGCAGTGCTGGCAATTCGCCTTGCAGAATGCTTGCTAGGGATTGCAATGCCATTCCAGAGATATCATTCTTGTACTCTAATTCTCAATTTTCAATGTTCTTTCAATTTCCTTAGTGGAAACTCTTGCCAAATCTCTCTGTGAACAGAGCAAGTAGTAAGATCTCTGTTAGAACGCTACTAGAGCGCTACGATCACCCACACAACTCCGTGCCCTCCTTCGTAGTTCACACCCGTTGTAGGGTGACTCTCCGCATGGTGCGGTGAGCGTGGAACGGCCCCGCGTTAGAACCTTCAGAGTAGCCGACTTTAGTGCTCAATACCTAAGTTGTTGTAGGCCGGCAGTCTAAACCGCCATGGTCGACCAGGAGGAGGTCGCTGCAGTCGTAGAGGATACCCTGCAGGCGCGGTTAGATGACGTTCGGGCACGCCACGCAGCTGGCGAGTACGGCGGAGCAACCTTGGAGGTTATGCTCTTTGGAACCCGCGTGCAGTGGGCGCGCGAGCACCCAACGACCCGTACTGAGGCGGATGGTCTGCCCGCCACACCCCGACCGGCGCGCAACGAAGGGGGCGTCGACGACCAGGTCGACGGTGGTAACCAAGTCGGCAGCGAAGGCAGCACGAGGCTTCGTGGAGTGATTCGGGCCGCTGACTTTGGCGTCGGCGGAATGCAGGCACGAGTTCAGCGCTCGGCGGCAGCGGGAAGTTCGAACGGCAACATCGATGGTCGACGCATTTCTCCTCAGCGGAGTGGAGCCAGGCCGACATCGGCGACTCATGCGTCGGCTGGTCGGGACGGAGGCATCGCGCCGGCGTACGGCTACTTCAAATTTTCGCCGGACAAGATCGCTGTGCCGAAGCCGCTCGAAGGACGACATGACTTGATCACATGGATTGAGTCAATCGAACCCCAACTGGAGATCGCTGGATTGAAGAAGTTCGTTGACGGCAAGGTGGAGATGCCGGACGAAGACGACTCTGAAATGTTGGCGGAATTTCGCGCTGCTCACCTTCTGACCTTCATGGTCATTTCGAGGTGCTGTTCGCCGCTGGTGCAAGTCGCGCTGAAGCAGTGCCGACTTCAAGTGGACGCCGGCTACCAAGCGTGGCAGTACATCATGCGCACCTACAGAGCGACCGACGACCTCTACATCAGCCAACTGGAGAAGAAATTGGCCACCATTCGCATGGGCGAGCAGGAATCGGCGACCGAGTACTGCAATCGAGCGCGGCGAATTTTGGCCGACATGCGGATGGCTGGTTTCGAGTACTCGGTGGCGTCGTATGTCACACACATCATCAACGGCCTTCCCTCGAGCTACAATCTGATGCGCCGGATGCTGATCATGCCCGGCACGCGCGAGACTCTGAATGAGGACTCCCTTTCGAGCCACATCATCCAGGACGAGTTTATGCAGGAGTCTGAGCGGTCTTCAGAGCTCCTTCCGCAGGCTAACTACGTCGCTCCGACGAAGCAGGGACGTCAGACGGGGCAGCGTGGGAAGTCGGGCGGAGGTGGAGGCGGTGGCGGAAAGTCGTCTAAGTCTACGGAGAGCGCCGACCGCGGAAAGTCGGCGAAGGGCAATGATCGCGGAAGCAGTGGTTCGCGTCGAGGAGGACGCCGCTGCTACATTTGTGGAGACCCTGACCACCTCTCCTACGACTGCCCTGATCGCGACGAGTCCGACGACAATCAGAGAGGGAGCCGCGGAAAGTCTGACAACGCCAGTCGTTCAGAGGACGGGAAGTCTGACAGCGACAGTCGTCGTCGAGACAACCAGCCGCGCAAGGAGAAGCCTGCGTCCTCGAAAACGGCGTCGAAATCAGAGGGTGATGCTTCGAGCGAAAAGAAAGCCTCTTGTTCGATGGTTGGCGTGGTCGAGCCAACAATTTCGCTGGCACCGGAGGCTGGCGAAGACTTCCAGGCGGTCGCAGCAGCCGTCCAGGCGAATCCGACTGTAGTTCTCCTCGACAGTGGCTGCTCCCATCATCTGATGGGAACGCGGGAGGCCTTCGTCGAAATGAAGCCAAGAGGAGAAATCCGTCACGTACGCGGATTCAACGGGGCGCTTCAGAACGTCGAAGGCCGTGGCACAGTTGCTCTGAAAGGGGAGACTGGGAAGCAGGTTCTCATCCCCGACGTGTTGTACGTTCCGGGCGTACACGCGAACCTACTGTCTTCTGGCCAGCTGGAGGAAAACGGCGTGAAGCTGAAGCACGAGGGTGACGAGATGCTGCTCGTTTCTGCTGCAGGAGATGTGCTCGGTCGAGCACGCTACACCGGCCGAGTTCTCTGCACCGACCTTCGCCCCTGCTCCTCGAAATCGACTACATCTGCGACAGAAGCAGTTGCTCTGCGGACGATCGCCTCGGCGACGAAGTCCAAGCCGGCTAAGTGGCACGCGAGGCTCGCGCACGTCGGCATTGACACGATTTTGAGCTCGGCGAAACATGAAGTTGCCATCGGCCTTGACATCGAGAAGTCCACTGGAGCTGACGTGCCGTGTACCTCCTGTGTCGGCGGCAAGCTGGCGCGTCATACTTTTCCAGAGATGGGATCAGAGGCTGCAAACGCCCTCGATGTCGTGCACATTGACCTCTGTGGCCCCTTCCGTGTGGCCGCCGCAGATGGGAGCCTCTACTTCCTCCTCCTCAAAGATCGCAAGACCCGCTTTGTGTGGGTTCGCCCGATCGCGAAGAAGAGCGACGTGCTGGTCGTTTTCGAGAAGTGGCTGAAGGAAGTGGAGCGGCAGACCTCGACGACGGTGAAAAGGTTGCGCTCAGATCGCGGAGGCGAATTTCTTGGCAAGAAATTCACTGAACTTGTCGAGGACAAGGGTATCCTCCACAACCTCACCTGCCCCTACACTCCGCAGCAGAATGGCATGGCGGAGCGGGAGATGCGCACGGTCGTCGAATCTGTGCGGACGATGCTGCTTCACATGGGGGTGAAGCATCACTGGTGGCACCTCGCTCTTCGCCACGCCGTCTGGGTGCGCAACTGCCTCGAACGGGCCTCCCTTCCCCCGAGAACGACGCCGTATGAGCTGCTGTTCGAACAGAAGCCGGATCTAACACTGGCGCGCGTGTGGGGCTGCATGGTGCAGTTCATGGTCCCGGAGCAGCAGCGCGGCGGAAAGTTGGCGCCGAAGGCACGCTGGGGCGTTCACCTTGGTGTTTCGTCAGAGAGCAAGGGCTGGGAGGTGCTCGATCTCACTGACAACCGCATTGTCACAACCGTGGAGGCAATCTTCTACGAGACGATGTCTCTGGCGGAGTGGAAGGCGGCGCATGGGACGGCGTCAGAGCGGACGAAGGTTTCTCCTCTGCCGGGTCCATCGCCGGCGGCGATTGAGTTGCTCGCCACCGAGGACGACAGCTCGTCAGATGACCCCGCTCCCTCCATTCCGCCCTCCTCGAACGCCCCACCGCCTCCTCCTACCTCCCTCCCATCGCTCGCCGCCGGCTTGCCTAAGTCGGCATCAACGTCGGCCGCCAGCGATGAGGGGAGCATTGGTGCGTCACCTTCGGATCCGCCCATTGGCATCGCTGGCGGTCGACGTGATCTGGTCAGCGAGCAAGACGGCGACGGAGTGAAGTCCTGCCGACATGGGAGCCGGCGAACGGAGAGCGCGTTTCAGAGGAGCCTTCGACAGGGGAGCCGACGAATGGGGAGCGCGTTTCAGAGAAGCCGCTGACGTCGAACAGGGAGCGCGTTTCAGAGG